TAGGGTTAGAATTATTAATAAAAGAGTATAGGTGGATTTTGGTAGGGCTTATATTTTCAAATCAAGACCCCAAATTTAACGATGATCTGATTTCACGATAATCCGCGACATTTAATATCTATATTGCAATATTTGAATTTATTACTAAAATCATATGAAACATTAATTATAAAACAGGTCTTCGACTATAATGCTTTCTTTAAATCTATAATTAAAGAGCTTCTTTCGAAGGAAAAAAAATTAAAACATGATACAAATCTCATTTATGTAATGGTACTTACTATCAATTTATCTTTAAGTTGACTTAATTAAGTAGAGTGATCAAAGCATTTGAAATAATTTACTTAAGTCTCACTTCAGTCGACAAGTTATTTTCATATAATCACCTATTTAGTTAAACAAGTATTTGAAATATAATATTTCAAATTCATAATATTTTATTATTCATTTTAGTACCACATATATCGATATATATCCTATATATTTTATTTTGTTCATACTGATTATTGTTTTACGTAGAAAATTGATAGGAATATTTCATCAAAGTTACACTAGCATTTGTAATCAGCATTTATAATCAAAGCTCATATAAATAATTTTTTATAAAATAAGTAAACACAAGATAAATAAATATACTGAATAAGATTGTGCTACCCGTCACACTCGCACAATATTAATTTGTAGGATTTGTTTTCATATCGATATTTATGATACAGATATGGGTCATTTGCTAGGAAAATTACCGTTTGAAATCAAGTATCAAACAATCAAACAGCGATTTTCCTAGCAAATGACCCAAGTATGCAAATCATTCGGCAGAATTTTTAACAAAGATAATCAGCTCGTACAATGGCCGTATGTGACGTTTATTGAACAACGCTTTTAGAACATTACTTTCCGAGCCAAACCATTAATTTGCCGAAGTAAAATTACCAATTAAGTATGTTCTCTGCTGACAAATTAATGATTTGTCAGAACTAGTTCGGATGGTCGATGCGAAGACATGATATGGTATATTTAAGCAGTCGTAAGTACCTCTTGCTTCCTTAAAATTTAAGAATCCACGAGTGTTTATAATATACAATTTATTTATTTATTTTCTTTCAAAAAAATTTTTAGCATTAAAAAAATGACGACAAACCCAAATATTGTAATTGTTGGTGGAGGATATGGTGGAATAGCCGTAGCCACAAAACTCGAATCGTCCCTTCATAAAACTCATCAAATCATTCTTATTGAACGTAAAACTCACTTCTATCATTCAATTGGAGGTCTTCGTACAGTTGTAGAAGATGGATTTGAGAAGAAAGTCATTATTCCTTATGATAATCTTTTTAAGCATGAAGGAAAGTTTTACATGCTACGGTTACTACAATTAATGAAAATGAGGTTATTGTTGATACTGAAACTGAATTGGGAACTCATATACCATTTAAATATTTGATAATTGCTACTGGATCTAATCATTCTAAACCCGCAAAGATGATAAAGAAGAGGGTATTGTAGAAATAATTGCTCAAAGAGATGCTGTAAAAAATGCGAGTAAAATTTTGATTATTGGTGGAGGTCCCGTGGGCATTGGTAGGTTTATAAATATTTTCATGAATAAGTCAATGTTTTTAAATGTTTGTCGTCACTATTATTATTAATTTCTTTATTTAATAACATTATTATGGCTATTTATTTATATTAACTTAAAATAGAACTTGCGGGAGAAATTGCATCAGTTTATCAAGACAAAGAAGTTACACTTATTCACGCAGAAAATCATTTGCTTACGGATAAATTTCCAAAGAAAATGACTGACCTTCTTGCTAAACAATTGAGAGAATTAAATGTAAAGCTTATTTTTGGAGAAAAGGTTATTTTTCCTTCTTCCGGTATCGGTGACGGTGTCTTCCTTAACATTGGAAACCGATAAGGTAAACATATTTATATATTCTTTATTATAAATAACTGATAATATTATTCACCAACCTAAAACTCTCTTATCATTTTTAGGGTACACAAATTGAATCTGATGTTCAATTCGTAGCTTTTGGTGCGAAGCCAAATACTGAAGTTATAATAACCTTGGATCAATCATTAATCGAACAACATACTACTCTAGTTAAAGTTAAGCCAACTCTTCAATTGGAAAATGATAATTATGCACATATATTTGCTCTCGGGGACATAACAAATATTAAAGAAACAAAACTTGCCTATCGTGCTGGTCTTCATGCTGATGTCGTAACTAAGAATATTATTGCGCTCATTAATAATAAAAAATTGGTTGAATATAGCCCAGGTGCTGAAGCTATGTTAGTGACCATTGGAAAGGTATTGTCTTTTTTTTCTTTATGTTTGTTGTTACCACTACTTTTTTTTGTTTTTGTCAATGTATTTATTCTAATTTTAATATTTTTTTCAAAAATCAGAATAAAGGCGCATCTCTTTTACCAATGGGTAACATGGTCGTTGGTAGTTTCATGACGAAAAATATCAAAGGAAAAACTCTTATAGTTGATAAAACATGGAAATCATTGAACGCAACACCTGCTGCATAAATCACTTTATTTCTATTTATAATTTTGCACATACATCCATATATTTCTTCGCTATTACGATAAAATGAATTGTCGGTATTGTCGGGTTTAAGTTTGTTATAATTTTTATTTGGTTAAAAAGAATATTATTGTAAAATAGGATAGTCAATTATATTAATTTTTTATATTTATATTTTTATTACTTATGATATATAATTATTAAGGTTAATTAAATAAACATTATTATATATAAAGGGTGTTCTCAATGAATTATTCTAAAACGCACCTATGGTGGTTTAGCACCTATGTATAATTTCTTTTAATAAAATTTAGGGTTAGGGTTAGGAAGTTAAGAATTTTTTTTTTTTATAATATATTATAGAGCTACTATAAGGGTCCGATAGGGCCCGATTTCAGTTCTCGTGAGGTTTTTGGGGATCCTGAACATTTTTACTTAGAGGACACGATCCCGTTTACTTAGTACGTTTTTGAGAAACGGGGCCTATGGTGTAAAACACCATAGGTGCGTTTTAGTAAAAGTC